ATACTTCTTTACTGCAAAGTCAGCAGCCTTTCCAGAAAGTCCAAGTTCATAAGCACTCATAAATTGTTCAGAACGGCGGTGAATTTTTAATAAACTAACAAAATCTAATACCATTGGAACAGTTTTTTTGAGGCTCTTAAAACTATAATCACAATAAAGTCTTGCATAATGTTTCACCTCAGCCCAAACGGACTCAATATAATTAAGTTCACAATAGAACTTAGGGTAAAAGATGCACATGTGGCCGGCATCTTCAATTATCTAAATTCTTTATACGTATATAAGTAATGGTTTTTAAATTTTTTTTTTTTTAACAAAAAAAACTTATTTAATATGTGTGATCTTTGAGCTGCAAAGTCGGGTTGAGCTGAAAGAATACACGAAGCACAACAGTTTGGGTTGTTTGGATCAGGCTTATTTTTTTTACATGTATCACACTTTTTTATAAGGCCTGGTATCCACAAACCTCTTTCTTCAAGAACCCATTTAATTCCCTTAGGCCTTTTTATATTAGCATTGTATATATAGGTTATTATATGCTTGAAACTATCAGGTATTGTATTATCATGAAGAAGTAGTTTTTTTGTATCATCTTTCATACCCATTTGTGAGACCAAAAGGGTATCTTCAGCAAATAAACCATAATTGCTACTATTATCAAACATAAATAGAGCTATTTTGTTGGGGTGTGTTCGTTCAAATATTGGTATAGCACATTCAACTACCTGATTAACTAAATTATCGCATGTCCACCAACTATCACGATTTATACCTGGATAGATGGCAATACCTGCTTTGGTATATTTGAGATGCATGGAATTAGGAAGTAAGTCATTTATACCAATTTCATAGTCTGAAAGTTTGAGATGTCCAATAGATTCACAGACAAAATCACTAATATGAATACTGGAGCTCTGTAATCAAAAATAGAAATCAAAAATTAATCAAAAAAAAATGTTTTTAGCCAACTTACTAAAATATTAGGAATAATAATATGTATAAGATATTGGCCATACAATGATTAATATCATGAAATTTGTTTTGTCAGAGCAAATGATTGGCTGATATGTGCCGTGTAGTGACACATTTTATCCAATCATTTGTTCTGACAGAACAAATTTTGTGATATTTATCATCGCATAATCTAATATATTATCATGCAATTATGATCATGATTTATGAGTCGTGGTTAGCTAACTAAATTTTAATTCAGGATTGTTGTGCTTATGAAATAACGTACAAAAAAAATTACAAGAAGAAAAAAATCTATGATCATAAGAGTTTGCACGATAACCTGGTCTATTGGGAATTAGCAAAAATGAAGATTCTGCTTATTCATATATAGTTTAGGATATTATTCATTAATCCTAGTAATATTGGTATAGTGATCAGGAATTATAGCTGATTAATATGTAATATTTTAATTAATAATTAAAAATTTTAGTCAGCTGATTAACTGACTAAAAATATTAGTTAATTCTGATTCTTATTAATGATTTTCTTTGTAGGCCATATTCACCCTTTGGGCTCCATTATTGTTTCACACCATTATTTGCATAAAGAGTAGTTTCATCTTGGGTGATAGAAACAATTTCAGCCTCACCAGGAAGAAGATTTGGTGAGATACGGTTTAATTTTTCACCTTCATATCTGGCTATTCGTTTTCGTAACCTAGCTATTTCCTACAAAAAATTATTTCTGTACTCTACCACATCTTTACATTCATGGCTATCAAAATAAATCTTTTTTGTGTAGGTTTGGTATCTCCATCCAAGCAATTTTAGCCATCTACATGCAGTTGATCTGCTAATGGTTTTACTTATGACTCCAAAAATAAGCATAATATGACTAACATAACTTATAAAATTTGGAATAGATAATTTAAATTTATTTTCCTCTAAATACTGATTTATTTGACGTCGAAAACTTTTATTATGAATTAACAATTTGGTTTTTACATATTTATCATGTTTTG